ACATATGATATATACATAGGCAAAAAGTTTTATTTTATGCCCATTTCTGATACAATATTTTAAAATTTTAAGCATGATAGCTTACTCTAACAGAGCATGGGCTCCTAAAACCATGAACTCAAAACTGTGAGATGTACATTCTTTACAGATGATGTGTCTAGACACCAATAAAGTATGTTAGGGAGGTAAACTTTTTGAAGATTAATTTTTAAGTCATGCATTTACTTAAGACAATAAAAATCTGGAATGAATTTTGTAATAGCAAACATGAACAACTATTTCTATTGGGTAATCCAGGACACACTGCCCTTCTGTCTCTTGTTATAGGCTATTTAAGCCTGAATAATACATTTTTTAAGTTAAAAATTTTATTTTTTATTTTTATGTAGTAATATTTATGACAAGTTCTTAGACAAAATTTATAAAATTGGAAAATGATAGAATATCTTACAGTACATTCTAAAATCAGTACATAGTATATTACTTTCATGTGATTAAAAGGAACAGAGTTTGTAAATATATATCAGAAATTCTAAAGTGTCATTTCTAGAAAAACATAAAAGGCTCTACACAAAAATAAACTGCATTGCCAGACATTCACAAACTCCTAATATAAGTTTACAATTTCCTGCAAAAGAAACACCAGATGCTTCAGGAAGTGGGTAAGACAAGTATGTTCCTGTGGTAACCATTTCCCAAGCAAGAAATGTAGTTAAAAAGACTTTGCTAAGCTGTAGCCCACTAGGTCTCCAAATGTATGAGAACAACAAAAATAGATAAGCTGTTGAAGAAATAACAGAGAAAAATTTCCACAATCAGCAAAACCTGTCAAATAATCAGTCATGAAAAGTCTGTAAATAGAGACAAGCCCAGAACTGAACAGACTCATGATGAATTTTACCAAGTATTCGAAAAGGAATTAAAAATAATCCTCCTGTTCGATAAAACAGAAAGGGAAGGAACCCTTCCAAACTTTCTATGTAGCAAGTATTACATTCCTATCAAAACCTAATAAAAAAGAAAACTATAAACTAATATCCTTGATGAACCAAGATGCAAAAATCCTTAATAAAATACTTATAAATCAAATTTAACAGCATTTTTAAAAGCTCATACACAATCAAGCTGTTTCCATTCTAGACATGCATGGATGATTCAACATATGCAAATAAATAAGTACAATACAAAGCATAAATAGAATCAAGGACAGAACACATAGTGTCATCTCAACAGATGGAAAAATAAGTGATTCATAGGATTCAACATCACTTCATGAAAAAAGTCCTTAATAAATTAGGTATGGAAGGATTGTACCTCAACATAAATAAAGGCCACCCCAAAATAATATCATACTGAGTGGGGAAAACTGAAAGTATTTCCTCTAAAATCAAGGATGAGATGAAAGTGTCTACTCTCATACTCTTACTCAATATATACTTGAAATTTTAGCCTATGCAATCAGGAAAAAGAAAGAAAGAAAAGGAATACAAACAGGAACAGAAAGAGACAAATTGTCCCTGTTTCAAGAAGATATACTCAGGTACTTAGAAGACCTAAAGACTCCACTGAAAGAGGTAGAACTGATAACTTCAGAAAAGTAGTAGAATACAAGGTCGACATCCAAAAATCAGTAACTTTTATATATAGCAGTAATAATCTTGCTGAGAAAAAAATCAGGAAAACAATGTCATTCACAATAGCCTCAAAACACAAACGAAAACCTCACCAAACATGGAAATAAACCCAACTAAGGAGGTCAAAAAACTTTAGAATTAAAATAATAAAACACCAAAGAAAAAAATTAAAGACAGTAGAAGATGAAAAGACCTCCTCTGTTCATGGATTGGGAGAATTAATAGTTTTTAAAATCGTCCCACTACCAAAATCAACCTACAGATTCAATGCAGTCCCAATCAATATACCAATGTTATTATTCACAAAACTACAAAAATAAAATTCTAAAATATACATGGAATCACAAAAGAGCTCCAATAACCAAAGCAATCCTGATCAAAAAAGCATGACTGGAAGCATCACAATACCTTATTTAAAAATACAGAGCCATTGTTAACAGTGTTAATAAAAAACAGCATGGTATTGACATAAAAACAAGAACATAGTACAAATAGAACATAGGGCCCAGAAATCAGCCATCTGATCCTCCACAAAGGCCCCCCAAACAGATCTGGACAAGAGACAACCTCTTTAACAAAGGGTTGTCTGGGAAACCCTGGGAAAACTGAACGCCTACACGAAGACTGAAACTAAAATCTTAGTGTGAGACCCCCAAATTTGAAACTAGTAGAGAAAAAAACACATGGAGAAAACTTCTAGACATAGCTACAGGCAACAATTTCCTAAACAGGACTTCTGTTTCTAAAGTCATTAGAAATTAAAAAACTTCTGCCCAGAAAGGGAAATATCAACAGAGTGAAGAGACGACTTAGAGGATGGGAGGAAATCTTTTCTCGCTGTCCATCAGACAGGGGATTAATATCCAGAATATGTAAAGAACTCAAGAACATAGCATCATATGAGCATGCAATCTAGTGAAAAAAATGGACAAATTATCTCAATAGACACTTCTCAAAAGAAGTACAAATGGCCAATATATGAAAAATGTTCAACATATTTAGCTATTCAGAAATAAAATCAAAACTACCCCTGTAAGAATGGCTATTATTAAAAAAATATGAAATATGTAGGAATAGTAATCCTCACACATAGTTGGCAAATATAAACTGACACTAGCCACCATGGAAAACAATATGAATGTTTTTTAAAAAACTGAGGAACGTCTAGCAACCAGGACAGAGGGACTAGAAAACTGTTCTAAGAAGAATAAATGTGCAAAAGAACGAGCTTGATAAAAACCTAAAATTAAACTTACTATGTGACCCAGTTATACTACTTTTGGGTTCATGAAGTTAATATTCAAAAGTGATACCCGAATACCTATCATGATTGTGGCACTGTCCACAATAACCAGGTTACAGACTCAGCCTAGGTGCCCATTGTTGGATGAATGGATAAATAAGGCAGGATATACATGCACACATGTACTATTTCATTGTGTGAATGAAATCATGTCATTTATAGGAAATGGATGAAACTGGAGGTCATTACATTAAACAAAATAAGCCAGACACTGAAAGACAAATATTGTAAAAACCAAACAAAACTTGTATGTAGAAACTAAAAAAAAAATAATAATCTAAAGTAGAAGAGGAAGTGACTAATAGGGAAGGAGAAGGGAACTCCGGGGACTCTGAGAGAAATGGGAGGAAGAGGAGGATTGAGAGAGTGTAGAAGGGAGGAGGATATGATGAAAACACAGCATTTTCATGGATGGGAATGTCACTGTGAAACCCATTTATTTGTACAATTGTCAGTTAATATTTGATATAAAAATTGCTTGAAAAATTGTCAAATAAGTTTGCTCTCCTTTGTCAATTAAAATGACTTTAATTTGCAATGGAAAGAAATACCTTAATCTACTTTGATGTTATCAAAGTATTATAATGTGTGGCTTTAGACTTTTGTTTGACATAGTATAATATACTCTAAAATCATACAAAATAAAGATCCATATATATTTTGTGAGATTAAAGTAAAACCTAAATAAATAAAAATTATCTTGGTACCTCAAATGTAGATTCGCTCAATTTAAATATGGTGCATATTTAGTGTCTGATCATCTCATATTTTCTATAACATTTTACCAGGAGCTTGTCTACTTTTAAATTACATCAGTGGTATTTTACTCTTTTCCCTGATCATTGGCATTACTCATTAAAGCTATTGAATATTTACTACTTATGAGCAGACAATTGGGTCAAACCATCTTTCCTGGGCTGCTCTTTCCATGTTGCTCTTGCTACCCTTCTGGAACTGAAGTCAACAACATTTCTAACAATAAACATTCTCATTCTTCATTTCATGACTGTGGATCTACCCAGAACTTCTATTCAAGATTATCATTTTTACATCTTTACTTCCAACAGTGAGGAGGAGAAGCACGGGGAAAGCAGAATAGTATAAGAAATTAATATGTATTACTAGCCTCCAACATGCAATGCATTGGCTAAGTGTTCAATAATTGATAAAATAAAAAAAAAAAACCAGTATGAGGTAGTATAGTATTATCTTTATCTAATAAATTGGGACCTGAGTCTCTTAGACCATTCACCTAAGGTTTACAGTTAGTAGTTTGGGGTACCAATAGTAAAACTCTCGCCTGTCTATTCTTTAAGTTGTTGTTATTGTTGTTTTTGACAGATTGTCTAAAAAAGCACAGGTGACAATTCCATCTTCTTAAATATTTATCATTTCTTTGTGCTGGGAAACTTCAAATTCCTCATCTAGTTATTTATAAAATATATATTAAATTGTTCTAAACTATAATCACATAATATATTGTACATATGTATTGAATTAGCACAGTGTACTCCATGAATATGTGCCACATTAAAAAATAAAATAATTTTACATGAAAAATATGTAATAAGCACAGTTGGTATCCAATACTTTTTTCCTAATTTTAGAAAAAATATGTTGTTTGAATCTATACTATCATTGACCTCTTCCTCTTCCATTTTATCTGCAAAAGCTGCAAATCATTGAGATAAATTACAAAAGAAAAAAATCAGTTTCAACGATGTTTTTTGAAGCACAAATAGACAGAAACTCATACAAAGAATCATGGTAATGAACAAATTAAAGCATTCTTTAAAGCCCGAAATCTATCTTCCCAGACAATGTATCATGCTTGATTTTTTTTCAAACTGCTCTTTTAGTATTACTGAGATCAAGAGCTAATGGATTATGAATAGTTTAGGCATCTAAAAATTAGTTCCATAAACAGAAATTAACACAAAAGAAATACAAACATAAAATGTGTATTTTAATTAGCATAAATGAAATAAAATATCACAAAATTAAAGTTAAGGAAAAAGAATTTATTATATTGCATTCTCTAATGGTTTCATATCAGGATGTACCTTATATTCTTCATAATCATTGTTATCTAGCAAGTCCCTTTTCTCCAATTCTACAAGTTGTCCTGCAGGGTGCCTAGCAGGCAGATGCTTAATAGAGGCTTGCTCATATAGGGGCTTTCCGTTGAAAAATAGTTCCTTCCAATCATGCATCAACTTATGTGGAATCAGACTATCACAAAAAATAAAAATAAAAGATTAATCAATGGTCAATGAAATTCACAGTTTACAACTTAGCCTTTTTATTGTACTTATGTAATTAACTCACTTTCATAAGAATTAAATAGAAATAATTACTTGAAGCCAATTTTAAAGGTTACCATATGTGCAATGACAATAAGACAAACATACATTTTCTGTTGCAAATTATATACAAATATGTAAACCATTATTTTGAAGAGGCTTTGAAAAGATTCAGTCTATTCATTTTGCATAGGATGCAGATACTAGAGCATTTAAACCATGCTGTAAGTTTGCATATTTATTTAAGATTAGAACTGAGAATTATAAAACCTAAGTTTTCTGATCATGCTCATTATTTTTAGATATATTTCTCTGTTCTGGCAGTCAATAAGAAAGTTTGAAGACAGTGGCTTTAAGTGACATTCATTCATTCAGACCTATTAAGTGCCATACATTTTTGCCAGCCATAAGGGATATTACAGCAAGTGGAATCCCTAGCCTCCATCAGAAAATCCTGGGATAGAAGGGCAAATGTAATTCCACAAATAAAAACAGTTTGGGAAGAGAATTACACAACAGAAAATCACAACAGTAGATTTGACTGAATGTGTTGGCTCAGGGAAAGTCTGAAGAAATGACTGCTGAGGGCTAAAGAATGTCTAGCAACCAGGACAGAGGGACTAGAAAATGTTCCAAGAGAAATGAATGTGCAAAAAATGAGCCAGATATGATTCAGATGGAAAAACAGTTTCTAGAATTTGAAATTACAACCTAAGAAGTACTCTTTGATTCTGATGTGTGCTATGATACGGGTGAATGCCCAAGACAGAGTGTTGAGTGAATAACCAGGACACAAAAGACTAAAGATCAAATGATCCACTTATGTGAGGTACCTTAAACAAATTCATAGACATAAAGTGGAATGGAGGCCATCAGAGGCTAGGGAGGTGGGGATGGGAAGTTAGTATTTACTGGGTACAGATCTGGGATCCGTTCCTGCTTAAAGGGCTGTGTGGTCAGGGTCTTAGAGGACCAACTATCCTCATATTCAGATACCTCTTCTCTTTTCTTTCACCATCACTTATTAGGGATTCATAGCCTTAAAATTACCTGTGTTCCTCCTTACAACCTTTTAATATTATTATTTTTTTT